ATGAACCCAATGATTCATTCTATATCTCCATTATCTATCACTGAATAATTATTTTTAAATAAAATGATATTTCCCCTTACTTTATAGTTCTCTCAGCTTTGTTTTAAAATGATTTTTTAAAAAGAAAAACATATTTACACTAAGAAGCACCAGATTTACTTCTCGGTGTTTTCATTAGAGAAAATGATCGAATAATAATTCTGAAAGAAAAAAAGTAAAAAATATGTTCTCAACGAGTGTTCTACAGCAATTAAATTCCAATCACAGGAATAATCTGGCTCAGCAGTTTATCCAGGCTTCAGTTTAAATAGGGCAAATTTTAAATAACTCGAGAAGTAAGGGATAAAAATACACCAAGGATTAGAGCCATGCATTTCAATATGGAAAGGAGACTAGATATAGATAACAATCTCCTTACACTCCTAATGGACAGAAGATCACAGAGAAATGAGACTTCTATAGTGTTCATCTTATGAATATGGGAAAGCTTACATGATGTGAAATAATTCATGCAAACATTTTACATTGCATATTTCTATGCACTCTCGCCCTTACACTAAAGGCAGTTAATTGCTCTTCTTCTTCTTAAGTAGAATATTCTGGAAAATTCTCAGTTGGGGAACATACTAAATATCTCTTTCAATTACACTTTGAATAATACGGACGAAAGACATGTCTAGATGAAATCTTTCAGGTATTAACATAATAGGATCAGGTTACAAATGCAATACATTAGGGACTCTGGCAGTTAAGTTGGCATATAAATAAAGATGAACTTAATTTTAGACACAACTCATCCGAGGGCATTATTACAGACAATGGAAAAGGTCACTCGGGAGCTAGATTGATCTTGTAGTTCCATAGAAGTTGATTTTAAGATAAAAAAGTACTTGTCAGTATCAGCACTGATCATGCTATCTGTCATAACCTATCATAACTCCAGTTCAACAGCTTTTTGAAGAATTATGTTCCCTTTACTTGAAAACATATTCTTGTACATTTTTTGCAGCCTTAAATGTAAGGATTACTTAAAATCACTCTAGTTTATAAACAAACAAAAAAACTGGAGGGCAACCTTTTTAAAATTGTGAACTTTATCCTGTAAGTTTCTTTCAAATGTAGTCCTACTTCCTACCTACCATATCTATGTATTTGTGGCAGCCTGAGGTTGAACCCACCACAGCTCCTTACTGGAAATCCATCAGCTTCCCCCGATGTCACTGAGGGACAGATTGTAACTTTTGACTGATTATGACAATTATACATTAAAATTGACACTCATCCCAGAAGAAAAGGTATTTCATTTCTTCCTTTTCATGTTTTGTGATCTCCATTTGAGACATGTAGAGAACTTTAATTAATACAGACTATCAAGAAATTTCCATATTCTTAGGTTATTGGACCAATGTTTCATGCTTGTTTCAAACAGAAGGACTTCTCTGCACAAGGATATTTTCCAAAGCACGAAAAAGCAAATGTTGTAGACTGAAGATCCTTCTAAATAAAGACAAAATCTGAAATGCATTTGCCCCCACTAAGGGACTGCATACCTTCTATTTCTGAAGTATTCCTGAGGACATTGTTTTCTAGACTCCGACAATTGAAGTTTTTTAGTAAAAGTACTATATTCTGAACAATTTTAAAGATACCATAGAATATAGCTGGAAGAAAAAATAATACCAACAATCCTTCTTTTTTTCCAACCAATATCTTGGAAAAATTAAGATTGCCATCCTATTTTCAAATACAAAATATTTTATGATTAACCAGTAAAACTTTAACGTATCTTAAAACTTAAAAGAATCACAGGATTATGAGCTCCCAGAACTGAAATGCATTCTCCTATCTTGCCACTTAATACTTACTAGACCACCAATGATATTCAATTTTTAAAAAACAACTATTCCTTATGATTATCAATTTCCATGTTAATTTCCCAGTATTAAAAATCTCTTTCCTAGAGTTACTATACATGCTTCACACTGAAGCCTTTTTCATTCTAGACTTAGTAACAATATCTTAGCTGATATCTATCATTTGTTAAATGTTCTTTTCTTGAAGACCACTATTGTACCTCCTCATGGTTAGACTAAAGTATAATTTCTAAATAGGTCTTCTCTTATTTAACAATTTTCCTTTTTCTCAAATTCTCCAAATTCCTTTTATTAGAATCCAGAATTGGATATATGAATGGGATCTAATGGATTATGTGTGGACGAGAAAGATCAAGCCAAGCTCCTTTATTTATGCCACTCAGCACTCAGGCCAAAGACGATTTATTGCTGCTTCTTATTTTTTGATTAAGGAAAATCCTCAGGAGAAAAGCATTTCTCCATACTATTCTTTTCAATATTGTAATTGTGCTTACTTTTTAAAAACTACCTGTTTACTTTGCCAACTACTTTTACTTAGTTAGCATTAATCTTTGCTCACTGTGTTTGCAATAATTAGCCAGTATTTTTTAGTGTATTTCTGCTGTTTATTTTTCCTCTCCAAGTATGTCTTCAATCAGTCTTAAAGAGGTTCACTCTTTTCGGTTCTCACTAGTTCTTCCACTTTTCAATTTCCTTTTGAATTCCTGATGTTATCTTTACAGATACTGATTTTTATCAACACTACACATATTGATTCATTTTAAATGCCTATAAATAAATAGAGATATGGCTCAGTTTAAACTATACTAAATGATGCCACAGTGTAAATACATGTTATTCTCTCTTACTTCTTAGGGACTATCACTTAATTTTGTGCTGAAAATGAGAAATGTATTTCCAAGTTTCTATAACTTCTTGGCAAAGATTCACTAAAATTATTATTTTCATAGAATTAGTATTTCAGAACAAGCCTTTCCCACTCTATGAAGATAAATAACTGAAATGAAACTAGTTTATAATAGACGTAATAATACACTTTGTATTGGAAGAAATACATGTTTTGTGTGTGACCCGGCTTTTCATGGAGTCCTAGATCCAGAGTTAGGGATAAAGAATGCAAATACAACATCGCCGACCAGCAGTACTGCCCCGTCCTCACACACAGACAGTACTTCCTGCTGAACTCCCAGTCCCCCAAACAAAACCGATGCAGTGATATAGGAACATGTTCTGAGGTACGTTTTAAAAAGGCATATATTTCCCTCAGGCACAAACAGTTTTTATTAAAAGTCAGCTTAGCAGCTATGCCACTTGTCAGGTCCAAATACATGGTGCTTGACAAAGGGGGAAAAATAAAAAACAAAAAGTGAGGGCAGGGGTAAGCTTTCTTTCATTGAACTCTGATAAAATCCACAGTCACACCAATACTGGTACCAGACAGACACAACACCAATGAAATGAAGACAATATTTAGGAACAGCAAGGCCATGCAGGTAGAAAAGAGCGGAAGGTTAGGCTGCTATGGTTAGGACCTTCGCGTCGAATCGTTTTGTTTCTGTTTCTGTACTTTAACCTGAATCCCTATTTTGGTGAAGAATTCAACTCTACTCCACGTTGCATAATAAATGACACTGTGGAAAATAGCACTCATATAAAGAACACAAAACGTCCTGGTTGCTTTGGTAATAGCGACCACTACTTAATAGGTGTATGACTGACAAAAGCTCCTGCAATGTGCTTTATGACTTACCATTTGGTCTCTGATGGACCACTCCATTTCTGTGCCACCCATGTCCGCTCAGTAAGCTGAGTGGCTCCTGGATCTCCTTTTTCAGTGCCCTACACTGGTAACTGTCCTTTGTGTTAACAGTGAGGGTCATTTTTGTTTTGAAGAGAAGTTACAGATGTCTTTACATGAAAAGGTAAACCCTTATGGTTTTAAATAAGTTAAGGCTACCTGACAAAGACAAGGAATCAGGGCTAGGAGCAATTGTGTGGGCAGCACTTGATGGTTAAGGAGCCCAAGAGTGTTAGACCTTTCAGCTCAGTTAGCTGTTTTCCTTGTTTGTCAGATTATGTGCAAAATAAATTTTGCTATGAAAATCCACTGCCTTAAACCAAGTCATAAAAGTTACCCAGCAGAATCTGTAAATTAACCAGGAACATGTATTATCTCAAGATAATAGAATGTTTGTAGGCACCTGAGTGTTTGTCAAAAGTAGACAATGAGCTAAGGTTTATTATCTATTGTTTTTTGGCAAGGAAGATTCGTTATGAAAAAACCTAACAACAACAAAACATACAATTTTAATCAAACTTTGAACACTCTCTGGGTAAATTAATTAATTAAAGGCTATCTTACATCTATGTATGTATATATTTTCCTATTTGTACTTGATACCTTTTATCAGGAAAGACTCAGTAGGACCCTGATTTTGGGAGAAGTAAAAAAAATCCTGGTCGTTAAATAAACACACCATTTTTTTCCCTTCAAGTTATTGAGCCTTCTTTAACGTTATCACACACATACACACATACAAAGGAGCAGCACCAGTACATCTACTCAACTGCGATGAAAAAATAAAATTAAAGATGCCATCAAAACTTGAATAAGTCAATAAATCATAACTTAGTCTCTTTCTTAGATTTACTTAGTAATGTCCAGTGAAGAACTCTAGTTAAAAATACAAAAACAAAACCCAGCAGTTAATAAGCTACTGATTAGAAAATAAGTGCATAAACAATACCAGCGTAGCAGCAAAATACAGTTATTGTTAACATTCTGATGCACCTCATTTATCATTTTGTGCAAGAAAAATGACCACAGTCTGGCCAATTCCAGATTTCAAACTAAATTCAAACTCATACTTAATTGAGCAAATTATGCTTATTTGAAAATAAATGAAGTAAATTCACTTCAGAGAAATTATTTTTATAGACATAAATCATGTGGCAAACAAAGTACAAAATAAATATCAATGACAAAAATATTGGAATCAACTTCCCTAGCTGAATTTGGAGTGTGAGGAAAGATATTACAACACATGTATTTTACATGTCTTAGGTCTCTCTTATGCTATCGAGGTAAAGCCAGCCATCTGAGACATGTTTCCTGTTTCTCTTTTCTTTTTTTTAAACTTAAATGAACTGTAGCCATTTGATGGCAGAAGTTTATCTGTGACTCAGAGAAACCACAAATGTTTTATCACATCAGGGTCTGTGCTTCGTGTTCTTCTCAATTTTCTCTCGTCTTCCAAAATGACGGACATTAATCCAATTGTACATCTAACAACTGAGAAGAAAACACCCGCTGAATCTTGGGCAGTATCCTGTGTGTGGCTACAAAACTTCCACCCCAGATGTTCGTCCACAGGAGATGAAGACTAGGGGTGAGGAGGCTTGGAGAGACAGTGGAGAGGGGCGCACTGGGAGCTGGAATGTGGCTGCTCCTCGGGGAGAGCTGTGTCAGGACTGGAAAGGAGAAACAAGCACGTCAGCAAGAAACACATTTCAAAGGGCCAGGCACGGTAGTAGGGGTTAGACAAGTTATTTTTGCATACATTTAAGAACATGAACAGAAATCTTGCACAGTAAATGGTTTCCATCTAAAGCATGCCAAGATAATGGTGGCTTTTCAAAACAAGGCATAAAAAAGAAAAATGAAATGTATTAAGGAAATGATATATGAAAGGCACTCTTTTTTTTTTCTTTCTTTTCTTGCCCCCAGCATTTTACAGAAGTTCTTTTCAATTTTTGCACAGTGTTGTTCTCCTAGGTCTCTGCGTTAGCTGTAAGATTTCATGAGATCAGTTCTTTTCAAACTTTAATATGCATTCAAATTACCTGGGGATCTCAGTATAAAGGGCAGATTTGGATTCATTAGGTGTGGGGTGGGACCTGAGATTCTGCATTTTTAATGAGCTCCCACTGATGCTGGTGGTACTGGTAGGTTGACCAAAGCTTTGGAGTTTAGAGGATTCTATAGTTATCTGGTAGATCCAGATTCACTAGGATAAAAATTTGCCTGTGGAAGTCTAATTTGCTCTAAGGATTCCTGCTTGGGCTTGGAGGTATACAAAATACAGAAGAGTTTTATATTTCACCTTTTTTTTTTTTTTTTTTTTAAGATGAGTCTCGCTCTTTTACCCAGGCAGATCACTGCAGCCTCCACCTCCCGGGTTCAAGCAATTCTCCTGCCTCAGCCTCCCAAGCAGCTGGGATTTCAGGCACGCACCACCATGCCCGGCCAATTTTTGTATTTTTAGTAGCGATGGGGTTTTGCCATATTGGCCAGACTGGTCTTAAACTCCTGACCTCAGGTGATCCACCTGCCTCGGCCTCCCAAAGTGTTGGGATTATAGGCATGAGCCACCGAGTCCAGCCTAACATTTCACATTTGTTAAGTATATAGTAGCTTTCCAAATGACCGCCTATGATAGCCTCTAGTTTGAATGAACCCGTGCTCAGGTCTATCAGTGTCTGGATGAATAATCTTGAAGAATAAAGAAGCAAAATCATTTGAGTTTCCTAGTATAAAATGACAAAACACATTTGGGTTTGGGCCTTTTAAAATGTGATTAGTGGCCGGGCACAGTGGCTCACACCTGTAATCCCAGCACTTTGGGAGGCCGGGGCGGGCGGATCATGAGGTCAAGAGATCGAGACCATTCTGACCAACATGGTGAAACCCTGTCTCTACTAAAAATACAAAAAAAAATTAGCTGGTCATGGTGGTGTGTGCCTGCAGTCCCAGCTACTTGGGAGGATGAGGCAGGAGAACTGCTTGAATCCAGGAGGCAGAGATTGCAGTGAACCAAGATGGTGTCACTGCACTCCAGCAGCCTCGCGACAGGGCGAGACTCCCTCTCAAACAAACAAACAAACAAACAAAAAAAATGAGACTAGCAGTGGGGGAATCACAACATGGGATTTTTTTTTTTTAATTAGAAAAGATGAGTATTTTTCTAAAACTCTTATTTTCCCTTAAACTATGAAAGTCAGTACTATATAATTTGTTTCTGCCAGAAGTGATGTTTGAGAGAATGATTCAAGGCTCATTATTACTATTTAAGCATAGCTTTTTAAAGCTAATATTGTTGGAGTCATTAAAATTAGTATTAAACAAATACTTTTTATCTTTGGTATTGAAATTATCCTTTATATCTCTTACATTTTAATACAAAATCGCAATTATGTAAAATATCTGATTGGCTTGAGGTTATTCTTACTTCCCAAACTTTTTAAAGTGTTGTAAGTTTAGTTTAAAAGAAGATTTGCTGTTCTGAACTGGTTAAGACAAGCACTGATTGCCTGGCATGGTGGCTCACGCCTGTAATCCCAGCACTTTGGGAGGCCGAGATGGGCGGATCACGAGGTCAGGAGATCGAGACCATTCTGGCTAACATGGTGACACCCCGTCTCTACTAAAAATACAATAAAAATTAGCCGGGCTTGGTGGCGGGCGACTGTAGTCCCAGCTAGTCGGGAGGCTGAGGCAGGAGAATGGCGTGAACCCAGGAGGCAGAGGTTGGCAGTGAGCTGAGATCGCGCCATTGCACTCCAGCCTGGGTGACAGAGCGAGACTCCGTCTCAACAACAACAACAACAAAAAAGACAAGCACTGATAAAAATTATTT